GGTTAAAACTAAACAACAAACTTGCCGGTGTTTCGAACTTACTAATATTATTGCAATCGGAAACTTCCTCTTCTAGTGGCCACCAACCAACATCACCACCACTATCTGGACTTTGCCAATTATAAGAAAATCAAACTCGTCAAGTTTTATCAGATCAAATTTCTTTACGAAAAATCCAATTCTTCTACTTTTATTTTAAAACAAAAAGGAATCTTCCTGTCTGGGTTGAAATTTCGAACGAATTTTGACGAACACTTACTTTAATATCTATAAAAATTTTAAATCAAAAAATATTTAAGAACAGTACGATTAGATCGTCAATATTTTTCTTCCTGAAGTTAGAAAATGATTTATTTGTGCTAAGAATTAACTTGGAAATTGGAACAACAATAAATTGTTAAATAATTTCTTTGAAATTGAATAACATTTACGAAAAACAACGTTAAAAATAATAAATTTCAAGATAAATGAAAAAGAAACTAAATCGTATGAAGGCATCCATTCATGAGACCAACCTCGTTTCATTATTCATTCATCGCAACTGCAATAACACCCAGACGAGTCAACAAAAAAAAAGAAACAAAAAAAAACAGAACGTTCAAGACTGTTCCTTCTCTCTAATTCTCTGGTTTCCTACGACCAAAATCTAAATCTCGTTTGAAAATCTGCATCTCGAGGTTTGCACAGTATGCACAGTATATTTTTTTATGGTTGTAGTTGTTTCACTTGCGGAATCGCAAACCAAAAAGATACACAGAGAGAAAGAGAAAGAGAGAGAGAGAGAGAGATAAAGGGAGAAATATGAAGATAGAATTCTGTCTCTCACGCTTTGAAGCACGATATTAAGGGTTCCATTAGGCTTAGATGCCGACTTGGAAACTAATATTCTATTCGCTAGCTAGCTTCAGGACATTCACAAACGTGTCTCTGGTCTATCTGGTTGCCACTATCCGCTCTTACACCCACACAATCTGAATATTATAGAGAAGACATCGAGAGATCGTAACATTCTATAATAATCAAAACTGAAATAGTATGAATGAATGATAGAGAGAAATAGAGATAACTTAGCAAAAGCTTTCAGAATATCTGCAGGTTCTTTGAAAGGATGAATCAATTTATGTTAGAAGATCTACCGCTAGTAGAGTACTTCTAAGTGGCTAGCAAATGTGAGCAATGCTAGTTTACAACAATACAACGACGACGACGACGACGACGACTATAATCTCGAGTCAAGAGAAAAGACAGAAAATGGTCTAGTCGTCTAATGTAAGCTTAGTATTTGCTGCTAGAGAATTTAATCTTCCCTTTTACCACTAATTTTCGCGGTACTTAATAAATTTCACGATTCACGACTCGTTGCACTTTCCCTGAGGCGCTTGGAAAAACTGCCTCTCTAAAATTGCCGCTGAATTAGAATTTTTTTAAGTATACTTTTTTTCCCATCCTCCCCCCGCCACTCATGTATTTTCGAATAACGCGAGTATATGTATATTTTACATACGACACTTCTTTTTTTTTCACCTGCTCGATTACCACGACACGTTCGCGTATTTATTTTTAATTAAATCAAAAGAAATATTTGTACTAGTTTAAATTTTATTTACGTTCAATTTTTCTCGTGTTACGATATTAAATATAATAAATCATTTATATTATTATTTTAAATATATTAATTGATACTGATTGAAAAACATAATTTCATTTATAAATATTAATATATTAATAAGAATTTATTTCGTTAAGACTTATATCGTAAAAGGATAGTCTTGTAAATTTGTTACGAAAACTTGGTGAGATAATAGAAAAGGTTTACGTCTTACTAAAAAAAGAGAAAGCAAAAGATAGAAAAAAAAAGAGTACTAGTAGGAAGCGTGAAAGTTTTTACAACACGTAAAAGAGGGGGTGTTGAGTTGGTGTCTCGTGTCTCGCGTCTCCAAGCAGAAATATATTTTTCAAGGAATAAAGAAACTACTCCTTTTTCTTTTCCTGTCGACGGTTATCGCTAGACGAACTACACCCCCAAACCCACCCCAACGTAGTCTACCTTCGGACAAACTGCACAATCTCATTATAGTTCTTTCTGTATTCCTTTTTCGAAAAAAAAAAAAGAAATAAGAAAAGTGTGAATGCAAAGAGGAAAAAAAAAGGAAGAAGCAGAAGAAATCGGTAAACTCGTGTAATTCTTCCAAGGTCCTTTTAAAAGCACCCTTTTTCTTTTTCTTCTTCTTTTTCCCCACTCTTACACCCCCTTCTCTATTCTCAAGTCCCTTGCCCTTTCTCTCTGAAAGATATCCTTTATAAAAGGACCGTTTATACTAGCAAACACAGGAGCGACGAAGAGAATGTTAGGAAAAGTGTAATCTACAAAATTATTCGCAAAAAGGATGAAAGAAGGGGATGCATGAGAGGCTTTCCTCTTCTTCTAGTCACGTCATGAAAAAGCACGAGAAAGCATATTCTCTGAGAAAGCTTTGGGTACTCTCTGGCCGACAAATGGCCAGGAATTTGTTTATATATATATATATATATCTATATATGTATGTACCTGTATAAACATATACAATGCACGTAGTTTGTTACGAAATATGAGTCAAAATTCGTCTTGAACAAACAAATATTTCGAGTTTGCAGATAACGTTTTGTAGAAATCGTATACGTTCGATGATATTTATAATATCATGCATATAAATATGAAATTTAAAAATTATTCTAACTAAAAATAAAAAGAGAAATATTATATACAAAACAGGTAAGCTATGATCGAAAAGTATACTCGTAATATATTCGATAAAATTAAACAAATAAAAAATAATCATCTAACACGGTCATCTTCGTTCGTGACATTTCATTCCTCGTTCCGCACGAGAGATTCGAAACAAACTTTTTACATTATCGTGTCATTCGTAACGCATTATGGTATACGACATTCATGGTATATTCGTTCCAGTCAAAAGTGCCGTTAAATCGGATGAAAGTTTCGACAAATCCGTAACTACGACAATTTCCTATTTTTATCCTATAAATCGTCATACAAAATATTTTATAGAAATAATAAATCACAATATGGCTATACTTTAAAACTATTGTTAGTAACAAGACTAGAAATTCGTATATTCTGAAGATTCTATTTTCACGTATCTACACACACACACACACACACACACACATATATATATATATA